TATTATCATCGTTGTTGTAATTATAATAATTATTATTATTACTACTACTACTTTTACTGCTGCATTGACAAAGTCCTCTTTAGCAACTGGGATGGCGTAAATGGGAATGGGGCCTCCTATCAGGGCAGCGTTTTGGGAGAACCTCGTGACATATGGCTAAGAGTGTTGCTGTCAAATCACAGGTCGTGCCTCTGAGAAAGGCAGGGGAAAGAGGGGCAGAATTTGATGTACATACAGCCCAGGAAAACTGAACAGGAGATGATTTTGTGGAGCTGGGGCTGGATGTCCAATATTATCCAGCTTTCTGGTCTTTCTGCAATGCTATGGGGGCCATACCCTGAGTCAAAAAGGGGACAGAACCACTGCTGAGGGCCCTGGAGCCCCCGCTGTGACCCAGCTCTTCCTTCCATTTAACCTCATGCACAGACCACTGCAGCTTTTCTAATTCCCCACTCCATGAAATGGATTTTCTCTCTGACCCCCATCCGCTGCTTACACCACCACCTTGAGCCTCCCGCATCTCGCTGTCACGGTTGCTTTGGCAACAAATGGAGAGAGGCCGGGAGCAGCTCAGCACGGGGAAGAATGAGGAGATTTGCCCAGATTTACCCATCTCGCTCTGACCCAGCTCATCCATCAAGCCATGGGCTTCCAGCCACATCTGCCTGGCTCGGGGGGCTGCCGCTAAGTGCATTTAAAATGCAATTAACCTGGTCTGAAAGGTTAGTGTGGCCTTCTGAGGATGGAGACTGAGCTTTGCCATCGAGGGGGCTCTGGAAGAGGCTGATAGAGGCACCCCCCAATTCTCTTGAGCCTGGAGGACACCACTGGAGAGGGGACAGCATTAACCCTTTTCAGTCCAGGGGTTACCCTACGGTATAGGGTTTGCAAATATCAGGCAATACATTATTCTTTTTTTCCTTATTTTTTTAATTTAAATTCATTATATGATAGATGCGAGAGGGTCAGCAGTGCAGGGAGCGCGAGGGGTGGCAGAGGAGGAATTAATCATCTCTGTGCGAGGTTGTCTGGGAGCTTGTGAGGCTCAGAGTCGGTTCTTGGCTGCGTAACCTTGGCCAAGGAGCATCCATCCCTTAACCTCTGCTGTAGAAGAGTGAATGGTGAGCGGTGGGTGCCGGGTCCCTGTTGTCTCACGCTCACAGCCTGGTTTGCCTTCCTCCCGCAGGCGAAACGATGAGGTGACGCACATCAAGATCCAGAACACAGGGGATTACTACGACTTGTACGGCGGGGAGAAGTTTGCCACCCTCGCCGAGCTGGTGCAGCACTACACTGAGCAGCAGGGGCTGCTGCGGGAGAAAAACAGCAACGTCATCGAGCTGAAGTACCCCCTCAACTGCCAGGACCCCACCTCGGAGAGGTAAGCCATGCTCTCCAACAGCCTCCCTTGGTGGAGGTCTTCCCAACTGGTTCAGACCCTGCAACTGGGTTTGGAAAGAGGCCTGAAACAGTGCGTTTGGGTGCGATTTAGCTTTGGTGACCCAAAAGCAAAGGGTCCTTGCAGCTGCATCCTAGGTGGCACGCAGCTTTGGTTCTAAAAGAAATAAACCACGTGCCAGACTTGTCTGCCTGCAGAACGCTGGGTTGAAATGCCCCCCAAAAAAGTCTTCTCCCAGTCTGTAACCCCTGCCCATCCCAGCAGCATCACACTGTTGCCTTGCAGGGATGGGGATGGCTGACCCGCTGTGAGAAGCAGCTTGCTTTGGGCTACTTCAGGATGTTTCCACCAGACAACCAGTGACCTTTTCTCCTCCCCTTATCTCTTTTTTTCCTTTTCCTCCCCCTCAGTTTCCTCAGTGTCATACGCAGTGACAGACGTGGTGGGTTGGGAAGGGGAACACCTCATCAGGCGATGCCGAAGCAGGTCCCTGATCACTCTAACTTTAGCAGCCGGGGTCAGGCGAAGCTGTGCCCAGTCTCAGTTCCCAAAATGGAGCCCGCACGTCATGTGAGCCCTTGGGAAGTCCCTCCAGCTCATGTCCTCCCTCGTCGCCAGGGAGGTTTCTCTGCTCCTTGAAAAGCAGCCGCTCGCGTTAGCAGGAGCTCTGGAAAAGTGGAAAACCCCTGCAGCTGGGTTTCCCCCTCTCCTCCCGCCAAGGAAAGTCTGGCTTGGCAAGGCAGCTCCATAAAGATTCCTGCTCCAGACTGCACATCTGGTGGCATCAGGGAGGGGAAAGGCTCCAAGTCCTCTCAATATATGAAATGATGACGGGGTCAGCATATAGCAGGATGCTGCTCTGACTGGTGCAGCCTGTGGAAAAGAGTCTTGCTCCTTACTGGTCTCCCCAGTCAGGCTTTAAATGGCTGCAGCATGCCGAGTCGGGACTTGAAAAGCCCAGCATCACTGGCTGCTGCTCCATAACCTTCATCCTCTGGGACAGAGCTGCTGAGACGTGACGTGCGGCCATCGCATCGCCCCTGGCTGGCTATTTTGAGCCTGTTCAAATTCCTGGCAGCTTGGCTGGCAGGCCAGGAGCCAGCGTCTTCAAACTGGGACCCGTGGCATCTGCCCGCAGCCACTGCTGAGTGTTGATGATGGAGTGTGGGGATGGAAGGCAAAAAGACATTTGCTTCGCTTCAGACTTCACAGCCAGGCCTGAGCT